GATGGGTGTGGCCTCAGGGATGGGTGGGACATGGTACATGAGGGCGGGAGCTGCCCAACAAGGGTATAAAAGTGGGCGGGGTATCTGGTAGCCAATCAGGAGTCAAGGAGGTGTGGCCATTTGGGATTGGTTTTCAAACTGGACGTGGCTCATAAGTGGGTGGAGCCTGCCATGGTGTGGCAGCCAATGGACTGTGGGGTTGGCCAAGGGGGCGTGGCCAAGTCAATATCCCCGGGGGGGGGTAAGAAGAAGGGATTGAACAGCAGGGTGGGTGTGGCTAAAGGGGGTGGGCGTGGCTGGAATGGGCGTGTCCAACATGCCCCGCCCCGCAGACCACATCGCCCACGTGATCGAGCTGCTGGGGGAGATCCCGCGGCACGTGGCCCTGGGGGGGCGCTACTCCCGCGAGTTCTTCAACAGGAGAGGTGAGGGCGGGGCCGGGGGCGTGGCCAGGGCTGGGTGTGGCCTGGCGGGGTCAGAGGGGGTGTGGTTAAGGCCTGGGTGTGGCTGGGTGGGGTCAGAGGGGCGGGGCTAAGGGCTGGGTGGGGTCAAAGGGGCGTGGCTAAAGGCTGGGTGGGGTCAGAGAGGGCGGGGTTAAGGGCTGGGTATGGCCCTAAAGGTGTGGTGGGGGTGGGACAAGGCTGGGTTATGCAAATGAGGGGGGTGGAGGTGGTGCCACACCCATAGGGGCGTGGTTCTGGGAAAAGGGGAGGGGCTTGAGCTTTGCAGGGTGATAGAGTGGGGTTTGTCTTCCCATGGCCCCACCCATGGGAGGGGTGGTCCTGACCACACCCATCAAAAGGGGCGGGGCCACCTCAACATTGGGACATATCCTGACCACACCCCCTAATGGGCGGGGTCACCTCAGCATTGGGGTGTGTCTTGATGACCACACCCCCATAAGGGGCGGGGCCACAGCTTTCGCCCATGTCTTGACCACCCCCATAAGGGGCGGGGCCACCTCAGGACCCCTCCCTTCCCCTCCCCCCGCTCTGTGTGCGCTATGACGCGGCCGTGGGCGTGTCCCCCGCCCCTGACCCCGCCCCTCGGCAGGTGAGCTGCGCCACATCCGGCACCTGCGGCCGTGGGGGCTGCGGGCGGTGCTGCAGGAGAAGTACGAGTGGCCGCGGGGCCCGGCCGCCGCCTTCGCGCGCTTCCTGCGGCCCATGCTGGCCTTCGAGCCCGGCCGCAGGGCCACGGCCCGCCAGTGCCTGCAGCACCCCTGGCTCCGCCCCTAGCCCCGCCCCCGCCACGCCCCCGCCGCAATAAACCACGGGGGAACGGCGGTACCGGCTGTTTATTGGGGTACCGGTGGTACCGGTGGTCCTGGAGTGTTTTTTGGGGTTTTATGGAGGGGTTTGGGGTGTTCTTGGTGGTCCTGTGGGGGGTTCCTGGTGGTCCTGGGGCCTTTACTGGGGTCCTGTGGGGGGTCTGGGATGCTCTTGGTGGTCCTGTGGGGAGTTTGGGGGG